ATGGGGTCGCCGGCGACTATGGCTGTTTGGTGTACGACTTTGAAGCAGATCGCGGCGGTGTGTGTGGTGTTGAGGAAGACGGTGTAGCTGGGGTCGAGCAGGGACATGTGCGAGACTTGGCTGTATTTGGCGGCTAAGTGGGTGATGGTGGTGAGGGTGGAGAGGTTGGTGCAGGGTCCGCCGAGGGTGATGATGCGGTTGGAAGGAAGGGGTGGGAGAGATGAGGATGATGATGAGGGTTTGTGGAGTGAGTCATGGCTGGTGCGGCTGGAGGGGATGCTTTTAATGTCGGAGGTGGAGGCTGATGGGGAGGTGGTGAGGATGCTGGAGCTGGTGCTGTTGATGCTGAGGTTGCAGTTGATGGTGGATGAGAGCTGAGGAGCCAGAGGATGGTGCACAGGTGCCCAGTGGGCGATGGGACAGTCAATTCGGGCTTGTAGGAGCCGCTCGTACAGCGTCTGTCCGATGGCGTCGGCCAGCAGCACCTTGCGGTTGGCCTGCTGGGGTTTCTTCTGCTTGCGGGTGCTAGAAGAGGTCATGTTGGAATGTTCATATAAAGTACGTAGGATTGAGATGGTGCATAGAGGTTTTCAGATACATATACAGATAGAAAAGTAGAAAAGAAGAGAGCAAGCAGAAGAAGTGCAATTGTACTCAGGACATATAGGAGAAATCGGACAAAGAGGAGACCCTCTAGGCTGCCGTCAGCACAGCCATTGGGCGCAGCGTGTGAGCGAGACGCTGGACTGCCCGAAGCTGTTGATCGGCGCGAACCCTGTCTGTGGGGGCCAGGGACAGTAATTTCACGGGAATCGCCGTTATGAGGAAGCCTAATGGCTCGTACTTGAGAAGATTGGTTTCATCGTGTGGGAATCGCCGTTGACGACACTGAACTTAGAATAATTTGTACCCACCCCCGTCTGCCATCACTGACTTCCCTTAATATCCCGTCTCTATTATTTACAACATCGTGAAGAACTGTCGACCCCTAGAATATGGCTGCCTGGTGTGCTGCATGTTTGTTTCGTCTGGATCCTATTTGTGCCATCCAGGGTACAGCCTTTGTGGGGCGACAGGTGTATTTGGGGGCCGTGATTGGCCTGGCGGGCGGTTCCAAAAGCTTAGGGGTCTCGCCTTGCGGACCAGAGGCTTGTTGGTCAGCCCTATATGCAGCTCGGAATCCGCGGGTTGCCAGGCATCTATAAATCGTTGTGGTGGCTGAGTGTCACAGGTTGTGAGTAAGATGGGGCATTACCACATAGTTATGAGTAGAAGATAGCGTATTACTACAAGCATTAGCTGAATATTATTGCCTGTGCACAGTAAGCTCGTCCTGCACCTATCCCAATATTCTACTAGTCTTACGACTATTGCCTAGTAGCTCGGCTTAGCACAGCTGATACATATTTAGCTGCCTAACATAATATTCTGTCACTCTCGATGCTCAACAGTTTCTCGCCAGTTTCATCCTTCACAACACGATTTCCTAAAAATGGCCCGATCAATCGCATCTCCACACATTCATCTCGGAACGATCTCGGAATCATTCCATCGGAACCACGTGATAGCAGCAAAAAGTGGCAATTTTTTCATAAGAACAAAATGAGTCAAAAAAGCAATTCTCAATTATTTATTTCAAGCTTTTCGAAGTCAACTAGTCGGTCATTGTATACCCGATCATAACCGATATCATTCCATTATCTTCATCATGCATCGACTGCGTCTCCCCACCATGCCCAAAACATGCATCCGTCCACAGCTGCAAACCCGCCTAATCAGCACCCCCTCACAACCCAAGCCAACCCCCGCACGCTCCCACCAGAAACCTCAGCAAGATGACTTGCGCATTATCCCCGCGACACCCAGTGATAGCCCCGCTATCGCAGATGTCTTCTTGCATGCTTTTTCCGACCCGTTCAGTCGACGCATGTTTCCCATCACCGAGGATGTGCGTAGTTTCTGGGTAGACCAGTTCAAGCACGAGATTGAACAGTCGCGGGCTACTGCGACTCCCCGCACTGCGTTCTTGAAAGTTACCGCGGGTGAAGAGGGGACGGTAGCTGCGTTTGCCAAATGGTGGTATCCTGTCCCAGAGGAAGTGACTTCAGATGGTGAGAAAAATCAAACCAAGACTGTCTGGCCCCCAAGCTCGGATGCCGATCTCTGTGAGCGATTCTTTGGTTTGATGAATAGTGAAAAGAAGAGGGTCATGGGAGGGAGGAAAGAGGGGTATTTCTGTGAGTTGTCCTTTTTCTTACTGTAGTATGACCTGCATCATGCTAATCGCTCAGACCTCGACATGCTGGGCACTCTCCCCCAGTTCAACGGCCGGGGCATCGGATCGAGGTTACTGCGTTGGGGACTGGACCGGGCAGATGAGAAAGGCGTACCGACTTTCTTGGCTTCCACGCCTGCGGGACGGCCCCTGTATGAGAAGTATGGGTTCGAGGCGGTGGAAGAGTACGAAGTGATTCCGGGATATTTCCAGGCGTCGATGGTGCGTGAAGCAAAATTCTTATAAGAATATGATGTGTATAAAAACCTGTGTACAATAGAATAGAATTGACCCACTGAATATACGTATACTATCTCAGCGGTGAACCATTATCCAAGGACGCAATCTGCAGCTGCTAACTAGCAGGCCACGTAACCCCAAAAATAGGGCCAACCACGGATGATCGGCTCAGCCCTACAGGGCGGGCCCCACCCCTTTTCCCAGGCCCAATCCGGCCAAATAGCCCATCTCCCATCCCCCCAACCCCTTCCCCCTTCTTCTCTCCCTCTTCTCTTCTCCTCTCTTCTTCCCTCCTCACCCCATGTCCCTCCCCCATGGTGGTCCAATTCCCACCTCACCACCACCATGTCATCTCCTCCTATCCCCAAGCTCCTCCGCGAGTCGAGCGACCTCACCATCACCTCCGCCTCAACCCCCAGCACAACCACGTCTACCACCACCATCATTCCGACAAATAATGTAACCTACACCCGCGCCCACCGAAAACCATCCACCAAGCTCTCCACCCTCCTCAATCCCTTCCGCAAATGCACCTCACGACAGAAGCAAAAATCAAGACGAAAACATAACTACAACTTCCAGTTATCTCACCAACCTCTCTTCCGCAACTCCCTCCTCGCCGGCGTCGGCTTCCTCGAACTCGCCAACGCAGCAGACTTCGCCGCCAACGTGTGGAACCAGATCCCCGTCCCGAAATACGCGATGGTTTTCATGGCCATTGGTGGACCAATCGCCCTGCTTATTACCCTAGTGGCAGCGAGGGACTTCTACCTCAGTTACACGAACGTGCAGCTACTCCTGAAAGAGCGGCGGTATCTGCGCGAGTTACTCGATTCCATCACCACCACCACCACAAGAACAACAACAACAAACACAACACCACAAAATACAAATACAACCACAACCACTCACACACAAGCGGAGCTATTATTACGGAGCAGACTCAGCGTCAACTTCCGCGAACTCGGGACCGAAATCGTCGACCGGATCCTAATGGACGCGCTCATGGGATTCGGCGCGCTTCTCGTCGGCACAGGAACCATCATGGCGATCTTCGGCGCGAATCATCACGTCTACGTCGCCAGCAACCTGCTCAGCGGATACATAGGCAATGGATTAGCCGCGGTATTTGGACTCGTTAATGCCATTTGGTCGGGGTATTTGGTGGGTAGGTTCCAGGTTTGTTGGAGAAGTTGCCAGAACATTACCAGCACATCCACATCCACAGCAACAACAAGGGACGGTAATAACAATAATCCCGGAGACGAAGAAGATATCGGCATCGAAGAAGTACGAATGTACCACCACCCACTGAAACTCCGCTTCCGCAGTCTGCAATTCCATGCCCTCGTGAACGGGATTAACGGCCTTGTGGCCGGCGCGGCGAGCATGGTTACCGCCACGATGTGGTACGGGTATGTCGTGTTGGTGCCGTGTATTGTGAGTCTCATCGCGTGTAATTGGTTTTGGAGGGTTAGGGTGGGGTATGATCGACCGTTGTTGTCTTCGAGTACTACGTCTGCTTCGTTGTTATCTACTACGGGGGGACGCGGTGGTGGTGGTACAGCTACACCTACTACCACTACCAATGCAAATGGAGGTGGAAATGGAAGTGGAGGAATCGGAAACGAAAAAACCGACCTCCTCGACCTCAGCAGCGCAACACATCTCCACCGCATGCTTGCATCATCCACCAAAGACAGTGGGATACAACTCCCCCGCCACATCCTCAACCGCACAAACCCCTCATCCGTCATGTCCTTCCTCACACGGAATGGCATGTTCGAGGGGTTCTGCGTCTGGATCGATCATGATAAATCGCTAGAAAGGGGTGTGGAGGATTTACTTGATCTTGAGTCTATAACATCCACATCTGCTTCTTCCCCGGGAGGGAAGAATAACACCAACGCCATTACCAACAACAATAACGGAAAACCAAACGAGGAAAATAATACTGTTGATGAAGAAGTGGAACTCTCCCTCACAGCCGACGACTTCCTGACTCTAGCCCGACACGACAGCGACATCCTCCTCCGGAAAATGAACGAGTATTTGGATGGGAATGTAGTCCGGGCTGTGGCGTATCGGGAGAGGTTTTTGTTGGAGGTGTTGGGGGTGGTTGTTTATTTGGAGTCGATTCCGAAGGATGCGGATGAGGTGGAGAGGAAGAGGAGGTGGTGGTTTGGGTGTTTATAACTTTGTTAATGAGGAGTAGGATGCTACTGTAGTACCTGGTGTATTATGTGAGATCATGGATGTGCTGGACACAGATGGTGGTGTGTGGTGTGCTGTGTGTTGCATGCTTGCGTGCATTAGCTTGTTTGATTGTTCTTTCGCTGTGGGTATGTATGCTGTATATGCTGGCATAGAATAGATTAATATTGGTGTGGAATGGATGGGATTGGATGGATGGATGGGTTGGGTAATGTACTACTACTAATAATGCATCATGTCATCATATCATATCATATCATTCTTTGATATTCTCTATCGTAACTTGTGTACTATGTAGCAGGGACATCACTCTACATATACAGGCGCCTTCACCAGTACATTCATCGGTCCTTTTCCTCTCACTTCCGCCGTCACAAATGACGCAAATCGGATACGTCCCGGTCCGCGCTCGCGCTCCTCTCGAGTCTCCCCGGCTGGTGCGGACGGTCCAGGACGCCGTCCCATCAACGAGCTGAACACCGACCGCATGCGCTGCTCCCGCTGCGGCGGTCCAGTGTCGCCTCCCTCTGTCTCGTCCGGGCCCTCTGCCCGCTCCTGCTCGGCGGAGCCACCAGACTCGGTCCGCACATGGTTCAGTGGTGGCAGTCCCGTCTCGACCTTCATGGTACCCTCCTGGACGACTGTGCCTGGGAGGATGTACTCGACGCAAATGTCGCGCGACTCCAGCGGGATCTTCTCGGCAATGCCCACGGCGTTCTCCACGATCATGCGCGCCCCGTTGTCCAGCCCCGGCGGCGGCGGGTCGTGCAAGTGTGCTACCAGCGTCGCTACCAGGCTGTTGATCAGTCGGTCGATAAGCTGGGCCCGGTACTCGTCCGCCTGCGGACCCTGCAGGTTCGTGAGCCCGTCCAGTGTGGTGCGCCGCCAGTTGGAGATGCGCGCGATCGCGTTCTCCTTGTCTTCTTCTGTAGACGGCTGCGCTTGCTGTCGTCGCAGGTTCATCTCGATGCTTTTCAGCTGTCGGCTGAAGGTGGGCTCCAAGGTTGGGTGGAAGTAGCGCTCGAACAGTTCCTCGACTAACCACCGGCTCACCACCGCCCGGCCGATCGCGGTCATCTCTTTGGTGCCTGTGGTGTGTGCGTCGTCATTGACGAACCCGTTCAGCCAGGAGGGCAGTGTCGCCCAGTCCTTGCGGATGGAAAAGGCTAGATCTTTGATCGCACCGTCCAGTCGACCGAACCGATTGGCATACTCGTTGTCATCCAGCACGGTGCGGGACACGGCCATACGTTGGTGTGCTACGGTATTCTGAAGGTGCTGTACCTGCGCTTCCTTTTCGAAGTAGTAACGCTTAACCTTGGAGTATTTGGCCTCTGCATTTGATTAGCGATGGTTCATCCAGAGCGGTGGCAGCAGCTACTTACGAAGCTCATCATGCTTCTGGACTAAAGCCCGCACATCTATCTCGGCATCCTCACGATCACGTCGGCTATCACGCGAACTGGGCGTGTTCCGGCCTTGCTCTGGCGTCGACGCGGTATTGTTCCGGAAGCCAGCTTCCGGATAAGGGGAATGCCCAGGGACAGGAGACTGTCCTGGGGGCGCGGATGGACGGTCGGGCATGCCACTGGCAACCGTGTCTGGATGAACGGGGAGTGGGCGTAAGGGTGAAGGGGGCCCAAGGGATTGGCGGGAAGAAGGTCGAGGGCCGACCGTGGGGTCCAGTTGGGGCGGTGTTGGGGCCAAGTCAGCGGGCTGTCGGGACGGCTCCACCGGTGACGGGCGAGTCAGATGTTCCAGCAGGCCGCTGTCGGTATTGGAGCGTTGGACGGAAGGATGCGGTGAACGAGGAGGTCGGGTGTCGAGCGTCGGCGTCGGACCTGTGTTCTGCGGCATGGGTGATCGACTCGGTGGCTGCTGTTGTGCTTGAGGGTGGTTCCGCGGAGGCTGAACCGGAGATTCTGCAGGAGTATGGGACGGCGTCGGAGTTTGTGATTGGGGCTGAGGCTGAGGTGCCTGACCCTGAATTGGCGCCGGCGGTTGCTGCTGCTGCTGCTGCTGCTGCTGCTGCTGCTGCGGTTGTTGTTGCGGCGTTTGTTGGGGTCGACGGGCTTGAGGAACCTTGGGCCACGGGGCGTCTAATTCATGCTCTCTCGACCAAGAGGTTCCCGGGCGGCGTTCGGACGTAGTGTCTATGGACAACGGTCGCTGTTGTTTGGAGGATCGACCCGTGGAGATTTTCTTAACCGACCGGCTGCGCTGCAGAATTCCGGACTGGTCGCGCGCGGCTGCAGACGAGTGAAGCGAGAAGAGACTGCGACGGGATTTGCGAGGTTCTGGCTCGACAGGTTGTAGTGGCTCGGATGGCAGCGGCCACGACTGATTGAGAGGGTCAGCATCGAGGATGGGTGCAGGGGACGCTGGCCGTACCGGAGTGTTGTCGTTACTGTTGTTGCCTCGCGGGCTGGTATGACGCTGGCTTTTGGAACGACGCTGGGGATGGGTGGAAAATTCCTGGGTATTATTATCGTGTTGATAGAGTTGCGGAGAGGCACCGGGCGTGGTGGAGGTGGAAGTAGAAGCGATGGTGTTGGTGGTGTTGACAGCAGTGGAAGAAGGCGGGGAGGTGGTGGTGTTGGTGTTGGTGGTGGAGGATGAAGTGACAGGCAATGGAGGGAGTCGCTCGCGGGAGGTGGAGACGGAGAAACGACGGTCGAGATCGTCGTCGGGGTAGACGCCAGGGGCAGCGGGCAGATGCTCGACAGATCGGAATGCAGACGCGGCAGCAGACGGCTTGTGCTTACGGCGAAAGAGGGGCATGGAGAAGGGTGAGGGAGAGAGGATTTATGGGAGAGAGGGAAGGGGGAAGAGAGAGGAAGGGGGACAAAAAAAAAAAAGTAAGACGGAGAGAAAAGAAGGAAGAAAAGGAAGAGGAAGAGGAAGAGGGGAGAGAGATAGTCCAATGCAGGATGAGATGGGATTCAATAAAGAAAGTGAGCCATTGGGTCCGGGCGGCCCCAAGGCGGGCTAAATTGCACAGCCATTGGACTCGAGGCCAAACAACTACTTGATAGTACAAGGCTGGTGCTGACGGTCGCTCTCTAGCTGCAGTCCAAAGCCTCGCCTCCGCGTTTCACCTTTACTAGTATGTACTAAGTAGCATGGGAGATCCACCGTCAACACTGTGAATGTCTTATTTCAGTCGCATTCATGTATCGGAGATGTCTAGCATCATTGTATCCGTGTTATGTCCATGCCTCATATACAGTCCATGTTCACCATCCTCCACTGTCATCTAACAGAGTCTACTCTAACACACACCGTGGGTCTTCCCATGCTTGCCCTGCAAGGAATGGGTCTCGTTCTTGTAGTGAGGGTGCACATGCTTGGACTTGTGCGAGTTGGTCGAGTGCACCCGGACATGACTACTTCCGTTAGCAATTACTCAGATCGACACCAGTCTCACCAAGGGTAACTTACTGGGTGTACCGCTCCAACATCGCCTTGTCCATGTCGCTGAGCGTCTTCAAGGCCAGCTTAATGTCCGCCAGCAGCGCATCGCACCGGTTCTTGCTAAAGTCCTCGCGCACCACCACCCGCATCAGCTTCAGCGAGTTGCTGTTGGGCGCCATCGTGTACGCCGGCACGATCCACCCGCGCTCACGCAGCTGGTGCGCCAGCGCAAACTCGTCAAACTGCTCCGAGTCGCGGTCCGCCGGCAGCCGGAACGCCACCAGCGGCAGGCCCTTGCCGCCGCGCTCGCTCATGATCACAAAGCCCAGCTGCTCCAGCTGGTCGGCTAAGTAGTCGGCAGTGCGTGTGATGTTCGTCATGATCGACCGGTAGCCCCGCTTGCCCAGTCGGATCATCTGATAGTACTGTCCAATGACCTGCGACGCGCCCTTGGAGAAGTTCAGCGTGAAGCTGGCCTGCTCGGCTCCCAGGTAGTTGATGTTGAAGATCAGCTCCTTGGGCAGGTACTCGGGCGAGCGCCAGACGACCCAGCCAACACCGGGGTATACCAGACCGTACTTGTGACCAGACACGTTGATGGACACAACCTTGGACAGACGGAAGTCCCACTCCAAGTTGGGGGCAACGAAGGGAGCGACGAAACCACCACTGGCGGCATCAACGTGGATGGGGCAGTCAATGCCCCGCTCAACGAGGAGGTCGTTGATGGCCTTGACGTCCTCGTACTCACCAGTGTACGTGGTACCCAGGATGGCGCAGATACCAATGGTGTTCTCGTCCACCAGGTCCACGGCCTGCTTGGGGTCAATCACGTAGCGATCCTCCGTGCAGTAGACGTAGCGCTCCTCAACATCGAAGTAGCGGGCGGCCTTCTCCCAGCACACCTGGACGGCACTGTTCATGACAATGTTGGGCTTGGAGGCATCCTTGCCCTCCGCCTTGCGCTTGTTCTGCCACCGTCTCTTCATGGCCAATGTGCCCAGCATGATGGCCTCGGAGGATCCGATGGTAGAGGTACCCATGGGGTGTTCGTCATCACTGTCGGTGGGGGCGTTGAACAGACGGGCAATCATGTTCACACAGCGGTTCTGGATCTCGGCAGACTGGGGGTATTCCTCGTAGTCGATGAAGTTCTTGCTGAAGGACTCGGTCATGAGTTTCTCAACTTCCTCTTCCTACTCGAATTAGCATTGTCCTAATACCCTAGGTGCAAAGCACATACCATGTAGGTCGTCACGAAACTCGCAAGGCTGTGAAGGGATTAGCTTCTTGTCATGTCTTGCTATCGACCGAACCTACTTGAGCATGGGGTTTCCATCCAGACTGAGCTCATCCTTGATCATACGGTAGGCCACCTCGCGAGGCATCTCCCGCTCCGGCATCTCCGTCGAGGGAAGCTGCTCCGTAGCGAAACGAGTGCCGTAGACGCTGGAGTAGAAGGCATCGTCCTCAAGGTGGATGGAGTCGACCCGTTCAGCGGTCTTCTCGACATCGCTGTCGCGCTTAACCTGAGCAAGATGGACCATTGTGCCGAATCAGATGTGTAAATGTGGATGGATAGGGAGAAGAGAGAAGAAAGCGATGCTAGAAAACAGCGACAGGGAAAGGGGGAGCGCAGTGATGTAAATAAGAGAAAGGAGGGGCGCAACAGCAGGCTCCCACGATCAGCCAACGGCCGTCAATCCAGTTAGCTCATTGAAACTGTCCCCCCTGCTCCCTGTTCTGGCCTGCCGCAACATCCGTCAGCTCACACAACACGGGAGGAGGGAACAGCCACTCGTTGGCTGCTGTCCTCAGCCCCGAGAGGTGGCAGCCACTCATGGCGCCCCTTTCCTGTAGCTCAGACACAGTCCTAAATCCCAGACTAGTGCTGGAGACGCCCATCGCCAGTGACGGAGGGACGAAGGAGTGGGGATTGAGGTTTGGGACCCCTCCCTCGTGTGATCGGATGGGCGAATCATCAGACAGTGACCAGGGACACGGCGCTAAAGCTTAAGGAAAGCTTGGCCTGGATCGGTCGGCAACCGGTGGGAATTGTCTCAGCCACGATGGGAATGGAGTCAGGATGGAGACTGATTCACCCAAAAGTCCGAAAGAGGGGAAGACGAGGACGAAAGGGAGGCGCGAATTCCCTCATCGTGGGGCGGCAAGTGGAGGGGCTGACGGAGGGATCGGCCAAGGTAAGTGATAGTAAGTGATATCATCGCTGACTAGCCGATCGAAGTATCCCCTTTCCTGGAAGGCCTTGGAAGGGATCATCAGAATTTCATCAGAATAGAAAAGCGAAGAGATAGCGGCTGTGGTGGGGAGGAAACAAACTTGCCCAGCAAATAGTGGCGAGTTTGAAGGGAAGCTATTGATGGAGCTGTTAAATGAGGTGGAAGTAGTGGAAGCAGTGGAAGAAGTGGAAGAAGTGGAAGAGGATGTGACGGGGAATTCTTTTCCTGGTGGTCCCAGCTAAACCCCAAAGAGATTCGGGTTTGTCCCTCGTAATAATTAATTAAAATCCGATAACCACTGCCGACATCCTCGTCGCTGCAAATGGCGGTGAATTGCCGTGATGTGTTGTCCTTTTTGGCAACTATCCACTCTTTGGAATAGCTTCGCCAAGTGCCCAGGTTGGCAGCTCCCGGCCATCACCCCGTACTTACTTACTATACGTCTACATCGCTCACGAATAAAAAGATGAAGAAGTATCCCGGTCTCCTCCGGAACCACCACATCAAAAAACAATAATCAAAATCATCACATTTCCCCTCCATTACCATTAAGCCAATTACATACACTTCGTCCCAGTCTCGGCCCATGCAGCCAGCCCAGATGAACATGAACATCAACATGAACGTGAACGTGAACATGAACCATACGTCCGTCCGAAATACAAAATAGCGCTTTGCAGCATCCCAGTCAGAAAGCCCAGCCCAGCCCAATCAAGCAATTAATCAAGCAATCCTATCCTTAGTGGTATCCTGTCCTGGCCATTCATATCGTACACCCGCCATCCATCATCATACTAAAGGCGTTATGTTATCTCTGGTATCTTTCTGCCTAGCCTGGATTTTTTTTTTCTTCTTTTTCTTTTCCCTTATTCCATATTTTTATTGGGTTTTGTGTTCTTGCTTTTTTAATATCCATCACTCCATGCAATCATCCATGTTGGGGTATCAGCAATATGGGCTCCTGGGCCGGCAACCGCTCGCCAAAGGAGCCAAAAGTTCATTCCGGAGAACACCTCCGGCAGGAAAAGCACAGAGAAACGAGGCAGAACTCTAGTTCTTCTCGCCCTTGATCTTGCGCTTGAGCCAGGCGAAAAGTCCGCTCTTGCGCTTCTCGGCCTTGCTGCTTTCCGACTTCGCAGTCTCCTGGGGCTTGACGGCCTCGGACTTGGCCTGCTCAACGCTCGTCTTGCCTTCCTCAACCTTCGGGGCAGCGGCGCCCGCTTGCTGGGTCTCTTGTCCGGCTTGAGCGGCTTCGGGCTTAGCAGCAGAGGTGCCTTCCGCCTGAGGCTCCGACTTGACCTCCTCGGCCTTCTGGGCAGCAGCGCCTTCCTCTTTCTGTGCAGACGAAACTCCTTGGGTGGCCGAGGTCTCGGTCTTCTGGGCCTCCTGGGGCTTCGTGTCCTTGATCGTAGAGGCGACAGCGCTGAGGCGCTTGGAAGTCTCTGGTGTCTTGGTCGCCTGCTCCTTGTCTTCCGCAACCTTCAGGGGCTGTTCAGCCTCAGAGGCCGTGGGTGCGGCAGTGTTCTCCACAGTCTTATCCGCTGCTTTGCTGTCACGTCCAGAGGGTCTGATGATGGTGCTGGGAACAACCGCAATAGGCTCGCTGTCTGCGGCTGCGGCCGGGGCCTTGGTCGCCGTTGCTGGCTCCGGCTGTGTCAACTCGGACGTCTGCTTAGCGCTGGCAGTACTCTCAGGTACTTCAGAGGGAGCGATGGCTGCAGCAGTCTCGGGCTTGGTAGAAGCTTCCACTGGGGCGACAGCGGTGGTGTCAGCCGCCGCGCTAGACGGAGCTTCGGTAACCTTGGCCGGGACGGCCTCGGTAGTCTGAGGTACTGTCGTGCTGGACGCAGCTCCAGCATCCTTGTCCGTCGCGGCAAGTCCGGCAACTTCCAAGTCCTTCGACGCCTTATCAGCGGAGCCAGCACCAAGCCCCGGGACAACCTGTGGCTGCACGATGGTGCCAGTAGGAGCCGGAACAGTGTCTGCGGCTGCTGCCTTCTCGGTGGCAATGACGGGTTCATCTTCCACCTTGGGCATCTTGTGGGGCTTGTGGTCATCCTCCTTGGTGGTGATGCTGCTCTCGTAGGGGCGCTTCACGTGGGCATCGGCGGTCTCGGGCTCGAGGGTGCTGGTTCTGACAGGCAGGGTTGTGGTATCCGCATTGGAAGCTTCAAGGGTGGAGGTGGAAGGTAGTACAGCTGGTGACGAACGTTGTCAGCAAACTATCAGCCCTGCGCAAATGCGCACCCATTGGGTTACTTACTCGTGCCCTCCTCCACTGTCTCCGCCTGAGCAGTCTTCGTCTGCTGCGCAGCGTCCTCTACGATGCCATCGTTTATCTTGGGGAACGCGGTATTGACTGCGTTTGAGGCCTCCTCAGTGAAGTTGACCGGAGGGGCAGGCGCGGGGACCGGGGCGGCGGTGTCAGTAACGGTGGCCACGGGTGCCGCAGTCACTGCAGGAGCAGTCTCGGCAGCGACGGCTTCGCTCTCACTCTTGGCGACAGTCTCAGGGATGGTGGTCTCGGGCGCTGAAGTCACACCAGTGTCGGCACCAGCAGCGACGGCTTCAACTTCGCTTTCGTCCTTGGTGACTGTCTCGGGGACAACAGCCTCAGGCGCAGTGGTGTCAGTGACGCCTGCCTCGGTAGCGACAGCTTCGAGCTCACTGTCGCTCTTGGTGACTGTTTCCTCGACCTCGTTGGCTGGTACACTGTTCCGGAGAGAAAAATGTCAGTGTCATTGTGCGAAACAAGACCGCGATGACGAAACAACAGCACAATTGCGGGTGCGATTGAGTTCTACTCACACATTGTTGGGGGCATCGACTGCTTTCTTTGCGGCAGCGGCAGCACCGCCGCTCTTCTTGCCCTTGTTCTTGTTCTTTCCTCCTTTCTTAGGCATTGTGATGGATTATCCTGTGCAGCAACAATATTGTTAGTGCACTGGCGATGACGACAACGAGTCAATTCAGCAGTGGGTGGACAAAACCTACAGTCTGTGCGAACGGAATGGACACGAGTCGTGGATGCGAAACGTCGAGGTCGTGCGATTCCGAGAATGGGGATTAAGAACCAACGGCAGATGAAGTGGGAAGTTAGGGGCGGGCTGGTCTGGTATGTTGCCCTGTGGCCCTTTCCGATTGCCTAAATCGATTCGGGGAACGTTAATCCGTGGAGGGCCGGGTCAAGGTGCAATTAATTTGCGGGTAACACTGAACCACCGGCGCTTGGATTGATTTCAAGCTGGACGCGACCAGTGCAATTCAATGTAGGTAGACCTGTAGCGCGTGTTGTAGTTGAGCTGTGCGCCAGTTCACACAGGAACAATCTGTGAATGAATGCTTGTGGGAGCGGGGGAATCCAAACGAGGGCGAAAGTCACGCCGCGGTCACATGGGATCGTGTCGAAGGGGACAGCAGGGTAAGATTGGAAGGGGCACAGTGCACGCGGATCCAAATATGGGTTGAATTGCGCGTGGATGAGGGTTGCAGATGTTTATTACCTGCAGGCGCATTTCCATGGGCTCGGCTTGAATCCCTACAAATCCTCCTTCATCTCCTTTCAACAACATCCTGCTCTCAGTCATGACTACAAAAGAGACAACAATCATGTTGGCCAGCCATGATGGCAGTTGCTATTCTGCACCAGACCGAACCCAGCTCATGCGCTGCTTGCGGCTTCTACAGGAATGGCAGGAATGGCAATTACGAAGCGATTGAGTGTCAAGCAAGCAGTATGGCAGCTGGAGCTGGCGCACATCCCCCTGATTCCGGCGAGTCGGAACTGTACCTGCAGCTTGGGGCTTAACAAGCCATGTTAAGCGGACTAATTCTCAAGCTTGCAGACGATCCCATCCCGCCCGGACGGGACCTGAGTTTATCCGAGGCGAGCCGTCCGCACAAGGCAAGGTCTCACTTGACCGGAGTTACTACATACGTATGGAGTACAATGCCTTTATGCATTCATTGCATTGGCTCTATATAGCCAATTAATGAGAGGTCGAACTTGCAGGATATCTATTGACCACTAACCAAACTATCAGGATACTAATCAAACCACAAAATCGAGTCTGCTGCTACACTATACAGTTTACAATCAATCACTCCTATTATTACTGTAGGTACTTTGTAGAAGCAGAAGGTACGGTGACACCCGCGCCCGTGTTCGATCGGTCGATTGCATCATGAGGCATGCCGTCGGGTCCAGGATCGGCCAAACCCGGACAGGGAATGAAAGGTTTAGGAACCGTTTCCGGTCGACATGCCAGCCGTCGTATCCTTAACCAATTCAGTAGTAAAAGCCAAGACTTAGCCAGCTGCTTGAAATAGACACTGTACACTTGTATACAGTCCAACAATAGTATCACGTGCCTCCATATGACACAACCCATCACAGAAACGTCTAGTATATATTAAGTAGCTCGAGCTGAAACGGCCCAAACCGGCAGCGCAAGGTGGCCACTACTTAGTACTGTGTACTTCGCATCCCTCACCGATGACAAGTGGCCAAATCCTCAACGTCTTTCCTCTGCGCCCCAAACTATCGGGAACGTATGTAACATGTATACATGCCCGAAGAAGTTTGGAAGGATGGCTGGGGAGAGGAGGGAGGCAAAACCCGGGGGTGAGTTGCGCTGCCATAATGACATCATAGAAGGGAGGGCGTAAGTTAGTTAGTTGACGGTGGGTGTTACAATGCCACGCCGAGCGTGTGGTGACGGCCCAACAACGTGCCAGGTTTGGCTGGAACCCCTTGCGTCTCACACAGTTTTTTAAGTTTCAGTTCGTTGTTGGGTTATGTTGTATGATTCCATATACTGCGTGCCTGACGATGGCAGAAAAAGATATATCAAATGGGTAGGCACTTGGGCATACCCTGGAAGGTATAGTAAAGAGGAAGAAGGATTGGGGGCAAAAAGGAATGACCTACGCAGGACTCGAACCTGCAATCTCTTGATCCGTAGTCAAGCGCCTTACCATTGGGCCAGCAGGCCTATTTGATGAAAGATGAATGTGATAATTTGTTATATGAGTCAAAAATAGCCGTTTTGGTCACCGGAAGTACCGTGCCGAGTGGGGGCGACTCCGAACCACCTTCAGCGGGGCAGTCGGAATCCACGATTATGCCAGCGATATCATTCGTGCAATTACTTATCGTCCATGGGTGGTTCTTTATCTCATTAGTCAAACCGTTTGCTACTGTGTTCGTACTAGTTACTTGTCTGAGATGAGAACCTCTGTCCCAGTGGCACCGCACCGTTCTCGGTTCCGGCGACTGACGTGGGATAGTTACTACCAAGTCATATGGCGCCCCCCAGCCTATCTACATCGGACAGCAAACAGAAAGAAGCATCCAGATTCCAGCCTCCATGAGGGAACGAATGATGATTGATGCCGGGGGAGTCGCAGGGTTACATCCCGATCGCTACGATGGGAAGAACAAGATGCAGCTTGACTCGAGTCGGTCGGTGGTGGCACGTAGATTGGACCGTCTTGGCTGTGTTTCTGGAATCGTTCGGTGCAGCAAGACCACGACAGCAAGAGACAGACAGACAGATACCTTGCTTGATCTTTTTGCCATTGCCACACACGCACTTACTCACACCATAATGCAAGTCCTGCCGGCTGGGCGATAGTACACCGTGATATACACCTGTCTTCTGCAGCAATCTTACGAAGCCCAGCCCAGTCCGTCGGCTGGCCGGCCAGCCCTGCAACATGTTGGGGGAAAGTGTAAGTTAACATGAGAGTGGTGGGAAAAGAGAACCCAGAGTTTTACTACTACCTACCACCCTCTTGACTTTCTTCGGCCGGAGATGCGTAACTTCCCGACCACTCGTAATGCGGAAATTGGTCTGGGAGGTTGGCGCATCCAAAACCATGGTTTAGATAGGACTGTTTTGGGCTTAAGGTAGTACCTTGTTCTGGCGATGCAACCCGACGGTGAACCTCCTCCGATGAACGTTTGATTGGAAGGTAAGTAAGAAGAGGGCCACACCGAAGGAGGGGGGCAAGTTTACAGTACGGTTCAGAATCAAGGGGTTAGTCAGCTCTAGGCTAACTGGGAAAGGCAGAATCGGGACTCGGCACTCTATGGCCGGGTTTGCAGAAGCGCCGCGGAAAAGAATGAGAATGAGGGAAATATTTCGTTATGAAAAAATGCTTAACGAAAATTGTCATATTTGGGTTGTGTCCCGCTTCAAGGAGGGGGGAACAAGTTGACTGGTGATGATGACGATGAAGAACTTTCTTTGCCATCCTGTCAGTCATTTTCTTTGTATTTCTACTCTTATAAGTTATTTTACTATTATCCCTCAAAGCATGGAATTTTTATGATCTAGCATATTCCTTCGTCGAGTGACATAAAACCCCAAGACTTATAATAATTAACTCAACTACTGCACAAGCTGCTATACTCCGAGTCTCATTCCCCATTCTGTCTTCCGGCTAAGAACAATCAGGCTAAGCTTGGGAAATTCACGCACAACACTCTCTCCCTCCTTCCTGGCTCAACCCCCCCGGTGGATCCTCCACGTTCGGCGTTTGTTTCTCGTTCACGCCTCGGATTTGGCCGCAGGTAATCGCGGCTTACCCAGTTACCGGCTCTCTGCCTCTTACCCTCCCAAGAAAGTCCCAACCCTCCCAGAGCCGTGGGGTTAGGTTAGGTTACCTTGGCCTGTGCAGAGCAAAAAGTAAGGTCAAGCGAGCCATGATAAGTCACCAACCGGTAAGTCAATGGCCGCCCCAGTGCATTCTGGGAATGGTTTACTCCGTTTACTCCGTTGGATGGAGCCCCGTCGTGGTGGTATGGAACTAACGGCATGGTGCCTCGCACCGCTCGTTCCAATCAGATCCCTTCCACTTCGAACTACGAGTAATTAATTCCCCATCGCATTGTATCATAGGTATGGACGCTGATTCCGATTACTCCTCCCAGTTAGTCGTGCTGTCTCTCTTACTATCTGGGACTGCTGCTCCATTAGTTCCTTGACATAATCCCCATCATATCTCTCTCTTCCTTAGTTACTCTTTAGTCTAGCCCTTCCTTCCTCTCGTCTCTCTCTTACTTCACTATCTACTCTCCCCTCTTCTTTCTTTCTTCCTTCCTTCGTTCTTCCTTTCTTCTACTCTCCCCTCTTCTCCCCTCCACCCCCCTCTCCTCTCCACCCCACACTTGGTCTAGGCAAACGATGATACAAGGGTTTCTGGACCTACTCGATTGTCGTCTGTGCTTGCACACCCTCCCTCGCGTCCATTCCCTCCCCGGGAAAGGTATGCAACATTGAGGTCCTGAGTCGACGGTTGAACGCATAACCCCTCCTATCACAACGATTTTCCACATATATCGGCACCATACACCACCATATCGCCTGGCTTTTCCACCCCGGTCAACATGAGTTTCCGAGAAAAGGTGCGGAGGGTGTTCCGCCGGTCCAGCAGTGGGTCCTCGTCCAAGGGCAAGGGCAATGGAATCAAGATCGAATACTACAAACGCGGCGAAATCCCTCGGTCGAAATTCAAGGGCCCTTTCGACAAGGAACATCAACGGAAACTTGCAGCATGGTCGTTTGGGGACGCCCAAGCGGAACGTCCGCGTACTCCCGATCTCAGCCTCTCCCCCTGTGCGTCCATACCGGATTTCATGAGAGCGCGGTACGAAGAAGACGCCGCCGACGACCTCGCCCCCGATCAGATTCGAACAGTACGACCCGAAGTAGATGTGACAGTTGGTATGTGGGATACTTCCTTTCGTCAGCCCTTTTGGATGTTGTCCAGCCTTGGACCTATCATAAAATATGCCATGTGTAACGATCAGCCATCTGACCAATCACCAGATCCCCCTTCGGTTCACCATGACGAATACGCCTGCGGCCGACAAGGAGAGAGTGGCTCATCGTCATCCACAGCCGTGGAGCCTGAAAGCTACAGCGAGTCCCTGGTGACTCTGTTTGCCGACTTCGACCGGGTTGACTCGATCGCCCAGCTGAAAGAAACGATCCGCTACACTTCCCCGGCTGTACGAGCGATTTCGCCGCCCCCCTTGTCGCCCAAGGGGTGTTACATGCCATTCTCACCGGAGGAGCTGACACGGGCGTTGAACGCCGTGCAGATCTGCTCATAGTACCTTTTTTTAATTCGCTCCGACTTCCGGCAAGATCTTCGCTTTCGCCCCCCCATCACGTGATGCCATTCAATAGGGATACCGACTTTATCGACAATGGTCCCTTTCTTTTCTATTCCCGACTCCGCCATCCATTTCCACCTTTCTCCTTTTAACATCTACTATGCGACACAGGTGTGAGCATCTTACCTTCTTCGAACCCTCCAGCCGTGGGTCGCAGAAGGCGGCACTGAATACCCGGTCGTGTTCAAGGCTGCCATTTTCCGACGGCTGACGCAGTCTACATATGCAAATCCGGCGTGAGGGGCGTCTAGGATTTATTGCATCTGCCCTCGACGGAGTCGGTCCTTTCCACGCATGAAACGAGCAACGTTCGAAAAGCGTCTGTTTTGTGCTTGAGTGCTTCGTGCATTGCGTTTAAGCGTATACCCATCCAACTGAGTTGCTTGGTTTTCCCAACCCGTCATGTGTGCTGGTGCCTTAGTGGGTGCCTACTACTAGCACCGAGGATTCACCCACCGGCCACTGACCCGACTTGTACTTAATGTACCTATCTAACTGTAAGGTAACACAATGAAGAAATAATAATAAAGACCTTCCCAATAGCGTAGTGTTCGGAATAAGTAGATTACAGTACGTAGTGAGTAGTGAGCCACCTCGCCTCACTCCCAGAAAAGCAATAAAGTAATAAGCAATAGTGATCAGAAAAGTACCCCCATAAATCAAGCCACTATCGACAATAAGCCTCGTCAATCATCCCTCCTAGTCCGCGCCACACACGCATCAGTGCCAATCCTAAAGTAGTGTCAGTCAATCAGGGTTCACTCAATCATGGTCCAAAAGAAACAGCAGGGAAAATGATTTCACCTTCTCCGCCAAGACATTCCAGACTGCGATCATCGGTCGGATACTTCAGCCAACTTTGAATTTTGACTTTTGACTTTCCTTCTTCTTTTTTTTTTTTTTAGAGTAAGGTTTACTTTTTCTTCTTACTACGGAGTAAATTGACCGGTTTGATCGACGGTGCCGCAAAGCACTAGTTTGATTTGATCTGTTAATAGTGTTTGGACTTGGACTTGGGACTTGGAGGGGCTGTCTGTGTTCGTTCGGGTCCGGTCGGGATGGTCGGGTCGGGGGGATTTTGCTGTTGCTTGCTTTGCTTGCTTTGCTTGCTTCTTCTTGTGCTTCTTCTTCTTCTTCTTCTTCTACTAAGCTGTGGATGTAACTTTACTTGACTTGGTTATGATTTATTATTTTTTTCTTTCTTACTTGCATAGTTCGTATTGATTTCGATGATTATGAGGGTGAGGGTGAGGAGGTTGGCTGGATGAGGGAGGAGGGGTGAGGGATGATGATCTGTGCAGTGGGTGGGTGGGTGGATGGTGATCGTGCATTAGTAGTAGTATTGCTGCTCAGATCGCTGAACTAGACTGGTTTATGGATGGTGAGGTGGATGTCAGTAGTTGCTTCTGGGGTGCAGAGGCTTGGTTTTATTCTGTTTTCTTTGGATACTAGTACTACTACTATTTTCATCTTGTAGTAGTAGTTGGTGCTTACTAGTAACAATGGTATATATATGCACTGCTGCTCGGCAGACACTACTGACCTATGACACTAGTATAAAAAACCAATGTTAGTATTACTTCAATAAACCCGAAAACTAATCATACAATTCAATCTCAAGATAAATCTAATAGAAATATGTATGCATGTACCTAAGATTACTTATTTTTCTTCCCAGCTGCTTGCTGGTCCTTGCTTCTGCGCTGACGAAGTTAATCTGTATCCATTATGTAGCTAGTTAGGTAACTATTGAGGGCATGGCTCAGCTGATGGTTATTTACGGTAGTCTATACTCTTGCTCATCATGCTTGTAGTTTGCATATGCTGGATGGATTGCAAGCTATTTGGTTGGATTGGTGAATTCTTGTCTCGTACTTTTGCATATTAGGTTGTGTCTGTTGTGGTGGGTGACTCAGTGAGCCATAGATCCAGGATGATTGGGTAGAGATGTTTAAAGATGTGTTGAAGTCAACTGGTAAACTTTTAGTATCTGCTTACTTGTGTGGTCAAGGACATTGTTCTAGCTGCGTGATGATGTAGCGGAACATATTAAATCGATGTAAGTATGCGTAAGTCTAGAATGTATACATTTGACCTGCAACGCGGAACACAATCGATACTCTGAATACTGAATACTAAATCATGTCTTCCTTGTTCTGATAAGACATTGCGTATTATATAGAATTATACATACCGATTGGCTCATTAGTACAGATCTACTGCTTTATCCAGGTCTGTCTCCCTTGCTCTCATCCTTCGTTGGCATGTTGGATTCGCAATATCCCGGCACCGCCTTTCACCGCATCGGCTTACAGAGTACGCTAAACAACGTTGATACTCCACTTGCTACCTCTGTTTCAGACGACGACTCTATCTAGAAAACAACTCGATTAAGGAGATGCTTCCCTCTTCAGCACTTCCCTTGCTTTATTCCACCGTCGGCGCGAATGTCGCCGGAGATGCTTCCATCTTGTGTGTCTCGAATTACAGAGTCTATCTGATTCAATATTTGCCGGAAGCCACAGAAGCTGTACTTCGGCTGCGGTAGAATTTTGGAAGCCTAGGCGAACACTGCCATAGAAGCCAGTACAGTAGGCTGTCAAAATTTGCTAGGCAGGCGTCTCGTCAACCGCCTTCAAAACCAGTACTTGCGCCGAATACGTTTCTTGCAGGGCCCTTTGAAATTATGCCCTCTTCGAGCCAATGAACGGGCAGTATGCTACGATATCAGTCCTCATTGCATAAAACTTGTTCAGCTATGAGAGAAGCGCCGGAACCTCCGCCGCCTGCTCGAGGACCTATCATTTCAAGAAGCAGCGCCTGATTGGTGATCATCCTAGGAGCTACTTTGCACAGGATACCTCGGGCCCATACAAAGCATCTACTAAGCACCAAGATGCCAGTCAATCACGCAGTACTAAGGTCTGATATGAGCGCCTATGGGGTTTGAGGCGACCAAACATGCCCATTCGGTTGGCCAACTCCATGCCGCTAATATCAGGCTGGGAACGTTCGAGGCTCTAGCGTCCATCTATTTAGTGGCGCTTACGCCGCTGGTAATCAGTCCGAGCGGGATCGTCCTCTTATGAAGACCAGTAGAACTCTTTCCCCTGCACCAACGGCTGTCATTTCTGTGTCTTTAACCCATTCCTCCACTCTCAGGGCGGCTAGAGACTCTGAGCCCGGCATGGCCAATTTCTCAGACCCGATACCCCTCCTGAATGCCTGCCGTTGAGTAGAGCACTTCCTGGATATAAATACGCATCCTTCGGTTCGACTGAGGACGCATCTCACGTTCTTTATCTGATCTGAATATTATCAAACGTCCGTCCTTACGCTGTGCACCACGTCTTATATATACGAGAACGAAACCAACTTGCTAGTATACAGTAGCCACTAGTAGTAGTTGGAATATTTCCTCAACCAGTTCGGTATAAGATCGGAACTCATTACCGCCAACTCATTGAAGTCGATCCTTCTAAAGATGTCAAAGACTGCACGGCGATTCCTCAGTTTCTTTTGGAGATCTGGCACCAAGGGTGTACAGGGCATCAATGATGCAGCAGCCCAGGAAGCAGTGGAAAAGGCCATCGAAAACAAGAAAGACTCTTTTCCTGAGCTTAGCAAAGCCACGAAAGCCAGTGTGGAGTACTTGACCCCAGATTAGTTCTCCATTAGTACGATTATTTACATACCCGCAGGTCGAGACCGCATTCGACTCCTAAAGCAGATGGCAGGACGGATCCTCTCCATGCCAACTTCCGGATAACTTCAGATGACAATCGGCCCATTACATCGGCGCATTATTATCCTACACCGCTCGGTGGTAAGAATGTGTGGTTTTCGAAGCCGAAGTATAATGATGGACAACAAGCCAACGAGCATTTTGTTAAGGATGAGCAAACCGATGACGAAGGTGATAGAAAATGAAGTCAGAATATGTGGCAGAGAATGGGAACAATATGGGTGGTCCTCTAGCTCTCATTCAAAGTACACCAGCGATTTGTATATAAGATTGTATCTCAACGGTATTGTGGCAGCTGAAGAATCTGCGGCTTGCTGAAGCAGTGTTGGAAGGTGTAAACAACGCAATATGATACCGATACCTGACCTGGCACTTTCTGGCAAGACGCTGCAAAGGAAATAGAACAGTAACAATACCATAGTGGGACTCCAATTCTGGAGAGCTGGGGAAAATTTACGCGCCTTCTCTCTTTGACGGTAGGACAATTTGCAAGGCTGCGCAAACACTGCCAATGTTTTGGTATGTAGCACGTGAACAGGGGTAGCATCCCAGTTTCCGCGGGATTATGCGGTCGGAAAATGGTACTTACCCTTCCGGTACATTAGGCCGATGGCTACATGTTTCCTTCTGTTCTGTCTCTTGCTCTAATCTACTTAACCTAATTTCACACGATGACTCTGGTTTCCCGGCGTTTGAGTAGATATCTCCGGCCCCTGTACTCCAAATCCAGCATGTCATCATCCTCTCCAGCCATACTCCCGACTTCGCCTATAGAAGAGGAGCGAAGTCCGGGCTACGACCCTAGGAAGTATTATCCAGCCCGGATCGGAGAGACCGTTGGGAAATATCGCATCATTTCCAAACTGGGATGGGGTGCTAATTCTACTGCTTGGTTGGCAAAAGATACATCCCGGTCAGTGAGACATGCCGATTCGTGTTACAACCCCCTAACACCGTAAAGCTGGGCCTGGCAATCGACGAGATACGTAACGTTAAAGATCACGAACTCTGGTGCTGAGGAGAGGAAGGCCGCGGAAGATGAACTACAAGTATCGCATCATATTTCCGGATTGCGGTCTGAGCACGAAGGCCGTGGGTATGTCAGACTGGTTCAAGATTCGTTTCAAATACAGGGCATCCTTGGAGACCATCTCTGCTTGGTATTTGAGCCATTAAGGGAGCCGCTTTGGCTTCTAGGACGACATCTTGGAAGCCATGGAGTTCCTCCGCAAGTTCTCAAAGCCTTCTTGAGGGTTTTGCTGTGTGGCCTGGATTTCCTACATTCTGAATGTCATGTCATACATACAGGTAAATGATCGCCCCTGTCCTTCGGCTAACAAGCGCTTTCCTACTGAACTGAACTGCAGATCTGAAGGCCGACAACTTTCTTGTTGGGTTCGAGGATGCTACAGTCCTCAAAAATTATGTCCGCCAGCAGGAAGTTCGTCCCGCTCCGCATGTGCTTCGGAATGGGCGCCCTATATTCGAATCTAGGAGCGACTTCGGGCCACTCAAGAAAGGAGTAGGCATGCTGAAGATTTCCGACTTCAGTGCTGCTGTTTTCGGGGATGTATCAAGTCCGCATAAACATGATATTCAACCCCAACCATTCTGCGCCCCTGAGGTTCTGTTGAAGGCTGGTTGGTCGTACAGTGCTGATATTTGGAATCTAGGGACAGTGGTAAGTCAGAAGATAATGCTTCGTCGTGATGTATACTCATAGCTATCTCTATGCAGCTTTGGGAACTTTTTGCCGATCAGACGCTATTTGATGGAATATGCCATAATAGCGACAGCGACCAACGAAGGGGATATTCACGGGAGGCGCACATCGCCCAGATGATTAGGCTGTTGGGGCCTCCTCCTTCACAATTTTTGAACAAGTGTGATCCGCATATACGCAGTGATTTGTTCTCGCCTCAAGGTACGTCATACTTGATTGCGATGGGTTGCAAACACTAATTGTTGGACATCTGTAGGGGCATTCAAGTTCCCTGAGCTGGTTCCCTCGGAGGAATTCAATTTCTCCAGTATGACTCCATTTCTATGTGGAGAGGATAAGCGCTTGTTTATTGAATTCGTTCGTAGAATGCTCCAGTGGGAACCGGAGCGTCGATCAAGTGCGAAGGACCTTTATAATGACCCTTGGCTTTACTATAACCCTTGAAGATATAATATCTTATCATGGAATATTTGGATCTAGTCTTGTAGTATGGTCATATTTACGGCATAATTTGGTATCCTTCCTAGTCATCAATCATAGCAGGCTGTACATGGTTGCGCCAGATGCATTCCCGGCCGAGCTTACTCTTCATGGGTCACCGTCATATCCAGCACCTCCACGCGTCCTCTGCCCCGGGTCTCGTTACCCACGAACTCATTCAGTCCCTTGAAAGCTCCCGGCTCCGCAAAGCCAATGACTTCCCACTCGTCTCCGCCGACGACCTCCTGAGCCTCGATAGATTCAATGTAGCTCAGGATCTTATCCTTGACATTGCTCGGGCCCTTGGCAGGTGCAGACTCTGCGTCAGAACCGCCCGCCTCATCCTCAGATTCCTGCTGACGGGCCTTCTTGGACCCCTTTCCACCCTTCTTGTTGGACTTGGAGCCGCCCTTGGATGGCGCCTCCTTCTCCTTACCACCCGCGCCAGCACCGCCGGCCGCACCAACCTTGACACTTTGCTTCAACAATGACACAGGACAGGTAACGCGGAGACGCATCCGCGCCCGCATCACGGGAATAGGTTGCCATGCAATAAGCGCCTTCATGGCCTCAAGCGCTTGACTCTTCGCGGACTTGTTGGCAGTCACACCCGTCCAGAGCGGTTTCCGCGGGCGGCTCTCCTCGCTGTTATCCCCATCCGTCTCACCATTGCCGGGTGTTTGCGATTGTTGACCACTAGCCGAGCTCAGCTGGTCCAAGGCCTTGGAGATCATTCCGGGGGTATAGACTCGTTTCGTCGTAGGATCAACCAGCCGTCCTGATACAATATCCAACACTTCCTTCTCCACTCGTTCAATGATTTCCTTTCGCTCGCGCTCGCCAACCTGCACTTCACCCTTTCGTAGGATTTCTTGTCGGATCTCATCTGCAGGTGTGTCGGCGCCGAAGGCCTTTGTTAACTCGGCGGATGGGGCTGTTTGCGCTTTAGAAACGGACAGGAAAATCGTGGGGACTTGGAGAACATTGTCGAGGTCCTTCTCTGCGCCGGAGCGATATTCGAGGAGTTTGTTCTTGTAGCAGGCGAGCTCGAAGCGCTTTTTACCTGTTTGTTGAACGGTTAGCGGGGTTGCGGGGCCGATTGGAAGTTTCGCAGGAAGTTTTTCTTTCTACGCCTGAATTTGCGCATCATCTCCCCACATAACTGATAGACATGCCACGCAAGACAATCGCAAATGAAGGGTCACACATGTATAACAGTACGTACCCTTTTTTAACCTGACGACTGATACATTGGTAAATTTAATTTGATTTGATGGTTGGTTGATGGGCATGTTGCTGGAGGCCTCTGCGACAAAGCAAGAGGCTTTTGTGTATACACAGACTCAACCAAAGTGTAATATGGAGTCGATCGATCTCCAGTTGCGTCAGTGAGGAGATTCTGTTTTGAATGCGCTGAAAAAAATGCTGTTGACAGCCCAAGGCAGTCACCCGACGGGCCTGTGATTGGAGGAAACCGCAATGACGCTGGTCCCGTGCCATGCGCTGACTCAACTTCATGACTCAGCGCGTGACTTTCTGCAAAGGGAAGGCACCGGCCTGTGATTGGCCGCCTTCCGGCCCTGCTATCGAGGCGTCATTGCCTGCCTGCAGCCCATCCAGTACACCTCCTCTTCTCTCCTCTCTCCTTCCTTCCTCTCCATCCTCTTCTGGGTTTCCATTGATTGCCCAGTAGCTGGTATTTGCTGAGCTACTTGCTTTTTCTAACTTGATACTTTTGTGTCCGTAAGTGCACTCCTATGCCCTCTGACCACCTCCCTTGATAACCCGTGCTGATAAGCTCCTTGCCCAGGTACCGTACCTTCCAGACCGCTAAGGTACCCATCCTCTACCTACTCATCTCATCGTCATCTCGATTTCATACCAACCCCGTTGGGTTTCAGCACAATGAGAGTTCTTCCAGCTGCTATGCTGGTTGGAGCGGCCACTGCGGCCGTCCCTCCTTTCCAGCAGGTCCTTGGAGGTAACGGTGCCAAGCACGGTGCCGACCATGCGGCCGAGGTCCCTGCGGATCACAGTGCCGACGGGTTCTCTAAGCCGCTGCACGCATTCCAGGAGGAGCTGAAATCTCTCTCTGATGAGGCTCGTAAGCTCTGGGATGAGGTTGCTAGCTTCTTCCCGGAGAGCATGGATCAGAACCCTCTCTTCTCCCTCCCCAAGAAGCACAACCGCCGCCCCGACCACCACTGGGACCACATCGTCCGCGGCTCCGACGTCCAGAGCGTCTGGGTCACTGGCGAGAACGGTGAGAAGGAGCGTGAGGTTGATGGCAAGCTGGAAGCCTATGATCTCAGAGTCAAGAAGACCGATCCTAGCTCTCTTGGCATCGACCCCGGTGTAAAGCAGTACACCGGTTATCTCGATGACAACGAGAACGACAAGCATCTGTTCTACTGTGAGTCCACCTTGGTTCAATATCACGCCTTTCATATGTTCTTTATTTCTAACGCAATCCAGGGTTCTTCGAGTCTCGCAATGACCCCGAGAATGACCCTGTTGTTCTGTGGCTGAACGGTGGCCCTGGATGCTCTTCCCTCACCGGTCTTTTCATGGAGCTCGGCCCTAGCAGCATCAACAAGAAGATCCAGCCGGTCTACAATGACTACGCTTGGAACTCCAACGCGTCCGTGATCTTCCTTGACCAGCCTGTCAACGTCGGTTACTCCTACAGCAACTCTGCTGTCAGCGACACGGTTGCTGCTGGCAAGGACGTCTATGCCTTGCTTACTCTCTTCTTCAAACAATTCCCCGAGTATGCCAAGCAGGACTTCCACATTGCCGGTGAATCCTATGCTGGTCACTATATCCCCGTCTTCGCTTCGGAGATTCTGTCTCACAAGAAGCGCAACATCAACCTGCAGTCCGTTCTCATTGGCAACGGTCTCACCGACGGACTCACCCAGTACGAGTACTATCGTCCCATGGCTTGTGGTGACGGTGGTTACCCAGCCGTCTTGGACGAGGGCTCCTGCCAGGCCATGGACAACGCCCTTCCTCGCTGCCAGTCTATGATTGAGTCTTGCTACAGTTCCGAGAGCGCTTGGGTTTGTGTCCCGGCCTCCATCTACTGTAACAATGCCCTCCTTGCCCCTTACCAGCGCACCGGACAGAACGTCTACGATGTTCGTGGTAAGTGCGAGGATAGCTCCAACCTTTGCTACTCGGCCATGGGCTACGTCAGCGACTACCTGAACAAGCCCGAGGTCATTGAGGCTGTTGGCGCTGAGGTCAACGGCTACGACTCGTGCAACTTTGACATCAACCGCAACTTCCTCTTCCACGGTGACTGGATGAAGCCCTACCACCGTCTCGTTCCGGGTCTCCTGGAGCAGATCCCTGTCCTGATCTACGCTGGTGACGCCGATTTCATCTGCAACTGGCTGGGTAACAAGGCCTGGACTGAAGCCCTTGAGTGGCCCGGACAGGCTGAATATGCTTCCGCCAAGCTGGAGGACTTGGTCGTGGTCGAGAATGAGCACAAGGGCAAGAAGATCGGCCAGGTCAAGTCCCATGGCAACTTCACCTTCATGCGTCTCTATGGCGGTGGCCACATGGTCCCGATGGACCAACCCGAGTCAAGTCTTGAGTTCTTCAACCGCTGGTTGGGAGGTGAATGGTTCTAAAGACGTGCTATCACCGCATATAGACTTTCTGGTCATTTCGGTGACACTGCAGATATGTTTCTTAACGATAGTTTGAGGATGCTTGTCAATGCCCACTAATCCCGAGCCTTATGTTGCATGGTATCTATGAGTTTGTCACTATAGTGCATTATGCATTTTGTACTTCGTATGAGAATGAATCGATCGCATTTACATGCATTTAATTAGTACCATACCGTCAGTACGTAGTGTAGAACACGAAGTTAATTTGGGGTGTTGACAACTAGGCGTATGGATGTCTCAGTCTATATTAACAGGTAGACCATAAAAACCGAGCCATAACAGCCTAGTCATGATTCGCCACCGAATGACCCGTACATTCGTAAATCGTAAAACAGCAGACAAAGGAAATGTGAGGAAAGGATGATTTGGTATTCATTCATATTGGTATGATTCTTTTCATTTCGGACACGGCATTTTCTAATATTGTTCCCGGTCCCAGGGAAGATTTCGTTAAAAAAATCCACACCAACATACACAAAAGGAATCCATCCTTCCCACGATCCACTCCAGCAAGTACGAAGAAACAAACGCAGATGATATGACCCCGATGATTGTTTTTTTAGTTCTTCTTCTTGCTGACACCGACGGTGCGTCCACGACGACCGGTGGTCTTAGTGTGCTGACCGCGGACACGGAGACCCCAGTAGTGACGGAGACCACGGTGGGAGCGGATCTTCTTCAGGCGCTCGAGATCCTCACGGATCTTGCTGTCGAGGGAGTTGGAGACGACCTGGAAGTCCTTGCCATCGGTGATGTCGCGCTGTCTGTTGAGGAACCAGGTGGGGATTTTGTACTGGGTGGGGGCCTGGAGGATGGTGACGATACGCTCGAGCTCTTCGGTGGTGAGTTCACCAGCACTGTAAGAGATATCAAAGTCAACTTGATGTTCTTGTATGTATCCTTTATCCCTTCGGGGTCTCTGTGTTCTTGTGGCCCTTGGTTCCCCCTCTTATTGTGTCCGTGCGACCAACTCCTCTCCATCCCATTTGTTCGAAACCATCGAGGAAAGTAGTGTAGTGTGAACGTACCGCTTGCTGAGGTCAACGTCGGCCTTCTTGCAGACCAAGTTGGAGTAACGGCGACCAACACCCTTGATCTGGGTCAAGGCGTACATGATCTTCTGCTTACCGTCAACATTGGTGTTGAGCAGACGCAGAATGTACTGGAAGTTCGTCTTCTCGCCGGACACGAGCGCTAAAGATTCCGAAGAAAAAACCGAAGTCAGCCTTCTGTCTTGTAAAATCGGTTGTTGCCATAATGATGATGATGATGGAGCAAGTA